TAAAAAATAAAAACAAATCGGGGAGACGCTTAGCAATTTTTTCAATATTGATATTAATGTAAGATTATCAAATTTTTCGTAAAAGTAAATATTCCAATAATGCATAGCTATGACCTATAGCATTATTCTTTATAAAATTAACTAGTGCAATAGTAGTTTTAATGGGAAACACCCTCACCGGATAGTATACAAGCATAATTTTTGCAACACAGAACCCTATTAATTGGCGTGATCCATGTTTTCTCTTGCTGCTACTTCTGCCAGAAATGAATTCTTGATTTAATCTTGTCTGATCCCTGGTGCGCTTCATTGCGATTTCAGTGCCTTGGCGCAGTACATTTTCAAAAACATAACCAAATCTTTATTTCTCAAAAAGACAGTGATAATAAGCATATGTTCTCATCTGCGTTGAATATATACTGTAAATTAGGTATACCATTTCATCAATACCTAATGCGTGATTCTAATTTATTGGTCAAAGTTATGTTAAATTTTATATTGTATTTTTTAAATACACTCTAAAATATTCATAATATATGTTTAATATTTATGTGAATTTTGATTGGAATGAGGTTTGACCTTAAGACCTTCCTTAATTAGGGATTAGATTAAGTCATCTTTTGTGATTGATGCTATGTGATAGAATTGAGTTATTAGTGTAATGACTTGATGATGGCTATAGTTGTGAATTTGGTGGTTCGTATTGACTCTTGTATGGTTGTCACCTATAACACTAGGACTTAAAATGGAATTAACTTTTTATTGTGGAGTATATACAAGTTACTAGGGTTCAACTTTTGAAAATATAATTAAGGTAGTTACTTTTGTCCAGTACTTTTGTTACATTACTTTATAGAGCCAACTAACTCAGCTAAGTAGCGGTATTAATATATATCAACAAGTAGAGAATTATGGGCGAAGACTTCCGTAGACTATAAGTCGTCGATGAGAGGACTGAATAATAGTGAATACTTCTGTCGCATTCTACGCGGCAAGTTTGATGTTACTTAAATTTTGCAGCTTTTTCTTCTAAGAAAATAATGAATTATAGGGCCCTCTTTGGTAAAAAATTAATGTATAAGTCAATTTTGACTTATTTGACCACTATTAATTGTTTGATTTAGTTAAAATATCAATATAAATGTTTAGTTAATTAGCTTTTTGCAACTCCAAAAGGCTAAAATTTGAAAAGCTATTCCAAGCAACTTTTTCAATTAACTTTTTGAGAAAAGAAATTATACCAAACAGCTATCAACTAACAGCTAATTTACCAAACACTTTTCTACAATCAGCTAATGTTATCAACTATTTGTACCCTATAATTAACACAATCCGCTAACAGCTAACAACTAACAGCCATTTTACCAAACAGGTCATAATCCTTATTATTATTATTATTATTTTTTAAAATGGATTCCAAAAAATTGGGAGCCTATGATATCCCCTTGATCGTACATGGCCAATGTTGGCCTACCCATGTTTGAGCAGCAAATTATTGTGTGGACCGTGTATGGTTCACACAGTTGTACTGTGTGAATCACAGTTCAAAACGATGTTATTTTTGGATGGTAGTTAACACCACCGTGAGCGTCATGAAGCGAACATTGACGGCTCATAACGGGCGTTCATACAAGGATGACGTTAGCCTAGCCATCAATGCTCGCTTTTCATGGATTTCTCCCGAGCTAACCCATGTGGGTCAAGTAGGCTTAGCTTGTATTGACATCTCTCACAAATTATATCATGGATCAAGATTCACTTTACATTGTGAATCCTGGTCAAAAATGACATTCCAATTATTTACCTGCATCTAATATATTATGTACATTCAATTAACAAATTATTTACTTATAAATAAACAGAAGATACATAATATGTTAATTGTAATAGGTACATATATAATTTATTAACTGGAGGTATATAATACGTTAATTGTTATAGATACATAATTTATTAATTGCAATTGCATAATATGTTAACTGCATGTACATAATAAATTAATTGTAATAAGTATGTAATTTATTAGTTGAAAATATATAATATGTTAATTATAAATAAATAATATGAAAAGATCAAAGTCCACCATGTGTGGTGTACCTTGATCCAATATAACAATTAGACATCTTTAGTACGTATGTATGGATGACAATTTCAATCCGCTCTGTGGATATTCACCCAAATTTTTAGTACGTGTTTTATATAACTAATAAATTTTATTATTTTATTATGTGTAGGTAATTTAAATATTATTTTTTGAAAAAATGATAATAAGATTATAAGTGGTGGAAACCCATAGTTGACACCCGCACTCGATGGGGGTGTGTGGAGAAAATATAAGGTGGGTCGGGTGATGGATGTAGTCCTTCCTGACCCACACCCAACCCATTGTCATCTCTACGTATGGAGGGATCACAAATGCATCTTTAGCGTAAAAATTTTTAAAGACATTTTTTTTTTTTCATCTAAAATGGACTTTTTTCTTTGAAAATTGAATGTATTCAATTGATTGTTTTATTTTATTGATATTAGTCCAAATTATATGCATTAATATTAATTTTTTCTATTTACATAGACTCAGGGACTGACTTATAAAATGCTCCAATTGATATGAGGTGATTAAGACCAGAGAAATTTGACCCTCAGATTTCACAATCCATGCCACGGTGGTAGACGAAAAGAGGACATTATTGATGTACATATAGATATATAGATGATAGTAGTGGCCTATTGAAAATACTTTAGTTTCACGATTTCCATCAAATTTTTAAAAGAGTAATGTTATCCAATCTAAAAATTTTCCCTCATATTACATTTTGTACCTAGACAATTAGCTTTCTTTTTAACTATTGGTGAGGACTACCCAATAGATGGGCAATCATTATACCCTACACCACGGCGCACACAACACTGTGCATCCCGCACCACCTAAAACGACATCGTTTTGTTAAGTCGTGTAGGAAGTTGACGCGATTATGTACATTATGGTATACAATTATGTACATTTGTTTATATAATTATGTACATTTTTTTTATACAATTATGTATATTTTTTTATACAATTATTTACATCCAAAACAATGAATTTATGTATATTATGTTAAGAGTTTATGTATTATGTTAGATTATGTGTATTATCTTTTTTTAAAAAGTATGTGTATTTTCTTATACAATTATGTACATTTCCAAAACGACATTGTTTTGCACCCGGGCGCACAATGCAATGCGCGCCCTGATGCACGATATAAATTGCCATAGGTGGGCACCAATGATTTTAAGCTACATCATGAGGAGAAATTTTAGAGAAAAATTTTGAAGGGGTTATAGAATTTTCTTTTTAATAAATAAAAGTAATAATTGGTCTTGCAGAATGTATTTATTTTGAGTTAATTGCATTTATTTGTTTTATATTTATAGGTGACATTCAACTTTTAGTCTTTTTTTTTTTTTTTTTTTTTTTTTTCTAAACAATTATTTCTTATCGTAGTACTATTTTGGCATTACCATTTTTCATCCGTCATCAACAATCTTGTTTAAATGACTTTAAATATGAAGGTATTTAAGCCAATTTAATTCTAAGTGTTAATTCTTGTTTTAGTCCTAGCTTTATATATATGTCATTCCACGACTGTTGCAGATGCTTAGGTTGTGTAGGCACTATGGAGGCACAGATTGCAATTGAAGAAGACATGTGACTCAAATTGTGAATTAGGCATTTCTTTTTAAAAAAATAAAATAAAATTAGTGAGTCAACCCACTTTGGATTAAAAGAGATCGAAATGACTTCGTATTTATTGTCATTTAAATAGGTGTTAAACGGAGGACTAAAAATTGTAATGTAACAATAATACTACGACCAATAGAAAAAGATGAAAAAAGGATTAAAAATGAAATTTCACCTATAAATCTAGTAACAAAAATGATAGTATGATAAAAATTGTCATGCCTACTTCCCTAACATAGCCAAATTAAAAGCACGTAAAATTTTTAAAACATAAGCCACCAAACTACTTTGGGACACATAATTTATCCCAAGCTTTCCGATGGATCTCCTTTCAGCGCCCCTACCCCACTAGTACATGTTCATGGCTCAATATGGTCCATAATGTTTTTTTTTTTTTTTTTTTTTTTTTTTTTTTTTTTTTTTTAGGCGATCTGCGAATCGTGTTGCCCACACTGTTGCTTGGGAAGCCGTTTCTATGTCAGGTTGCGGAGAGTAGTTTGATGACCCTCCGCCTTATCTTGCTGATTGTATTCACTATGAGTTAATGCATTAAGTTTCTATTTCCAAAAAAAATTATAATTTTTCTTATTTTTTACTATTATATATATTTTTTTGTTATGTGAAAAATTCGAAAGTAATAATGTTTGACAACCTTAACAATCGTTCTCATATAATTATATATTTCATATATTATTGCACATAGTATAAATAAAAATAATTATCAATACTAATCGGCACAATCATGTATGATATATATAATAATATTGTATGGTTGGTACTAATGTCGATTAACATGATAAATTTATTCTATAAATTTGACCCCTAACGCAGAGTTTCTGGCTCCGCACTTGGTGAGGTAGATGAAAATAGGACATTACTGATTTATTGTGCACCTAATGCTAATTAAAATGGTTCATGCAATTTGGACAAGTTGCCATTGCTGTTAAAGCTGCAAGCTAATGTTAGGTTTATAGTTGCCTCTCTGATATGTCCTTCAACTTTTATTGTTAACAATACCATAGTGGTTTTAAACGCATCTTACCTGCTTTTCTATTACAGATGGTTGAGATTATAGGTTTGTTATTATGATAAAAGTTATAACTAAAAAAAAATCCGTTGGTCTATTTTAAAGACTTTCTATTATGCCTTGCAATGATGCATCAACTTGGCTTTGCTTTGTTGGCAAGCTTGATGTTACTTTTTTTCCTATAAATAGCTATCACATATATCTATGTCACTCATTCCATATCATCATATATACTAACTATATATCTTCAATGGCCCTTAGTTTTGATTTCAGATTGGCTGTTCTTGTAGCCCTTTTCCTGTTTGGGGCATGGGCATCTCAAGCCGCTGCCCAAGATAGGCCAATGAAGTTTAGAGCTCCACCTTACCAATCCGGCATGGATTCCGGGGATGAAACTAAGACGGAGACCCCTGTGGTTAGTTCATCACCGGCGGCGCCCACTACCACTACTACGCCACCGGTTCAGAGTTCCGCTTCCATTGCTGAATCTGCGAACCGGATAAAGGATACTGCTGAGGTAGCTGATTCCATAGCCCACTCTGGAACCAATGGCAAGGCCATGTTCACTCACACTATGATATTCATTGCTATTATCATTGCGCTCTCTCATGCTACAATCTGATCTATATGTACCCACTGGTCATAAGTTTATGTTGTTCTGCAATCCCATCCTAGTTGGTCAGGCTGTTGAATTACAAGTTCAATACTTAGCTAAAACAGCCTATTTACTTCCTTTGTCCGTTAGGTTCCCTTGTTATCCAAGAAAATCTATCTGTTGTTGGTGCTGAATAAACTATCGATCAATCTTTTGTTTTGTTTTGTTTGTTTTTTTTTTCCTTAAAAAAAAATATTTTGGCTTACATTGTGCCTTGGACTGATTTCCACGGGTTCGTAATTGATCACGCACACCTTCAAACATTCAATGTAAAATTAAAAGTTATCCATAGAAGTTCATCTACATTTATGGAGTAGGCACAAGTAGTTTATAATAATTATGCATATCGATTTGATGAAGAAGATAATAAATATATTTATATTGTGTGAACAATAATAATAATCCAGTACACAAGACAAAAAAGGTTATTAAACATTGAAGGAAAAAAAAAAAATTTTAAGGCGTATATTCAATCATGACTTTTGTACACTTTTAAAAAATTTTAAAATTATATATTTTAATAAACTTTTATTGACTTTCATAGAGTCGTTCAAAACTTTTTAAGACTCTATAAAAGTCTTTAAAAAAAACATTCATAAACTTTTATCAACATTTTTATTTTAAAAAGTCTACAAAAGTCATTGAAATTCTAAATTAATAAATACATCCTTACAAACTTTCAATGACTTCGATTCTTATTATTTATATTATAATTTTCTTACAAAACATATTATAATATATCATAAAATTCTTCTTATTATATAGTTCTTCACCCACATCAACATTATTATTTTTATCCATAGTATGATAAGACTTTTATGCTAATTACATATATAGTATTCTAAACATCAATAATGTTAGGAACAAGTGTACTTAGATTTTGATGATACCAAACTCATTAGGAATGTAGACCCCTCTTTTTACTCTCGTTATCTTGCATCTTTCGTGCTAGACGAAAGTTGTTATTGCTCAACTTGTGATTCGTACTCAGCAAAATCTGTACACGGTCAGAGCATTTCTTAGTCAACTAGGACTAGTTAAAGAAAAGAGAGGATCAAGAGAAGACCGAGAGATCAGCTAAGACCAAAGTCATGGAAGGGTATGTCTCTCATGTATAAAGAATTCAATGAAAGATAAGGACAATCTTTCGTTATCGTATGAACCGAGACTACAAGTCAAAGCTTGACTTGATTAGACAAGATTCATATGCTATCAGAAGCATATTTGTCTAAGTCTCAGTGCTGGGTAAATCATCCTAGACAAATGGTGTCCTATGAATGAAATTTCAAATATCAAGGAGCATTTAATGATTAGTACCTTTTGTCTGCACAAAATGACAAAATGGTTGGTTGTTTTTTGAAGCCAACGGCTATACATACAGCCGCATTTAAGACTCCTTACCCAGAGGTCATTACACGCTGGTCAATAGGTTTGAAATCTTCATCTCCCTCCAATTGATGGATTTTTCTTCCTATAAATACCCCTCTTCATAACTTGAAGAATGTGCTGATTTTTGTCACTCTATTGCTATCTCAAAAAGCATTCAAAACTCCAAAAGCTTCAAGCTTAATCTAGAAATCAGCGTGTATTTTCTGAAGACTTTTCTAACATATTATCAAGTTCTTCAAGTCTTCACAATATCAAGAAATCTTGCAAGTTCATACGAAGATCAAGCTATCATCAAGTCAAGATTTCAAGTTGGAAACAACATCAACATATTCCACCCCTCAACTCTGAAGAAGAAGTTGAAAGAGATGGAGTAAACTCAAGGAGTTGAAAAACCTAGCAAGTTGCGGTCCGGCTTAGTGATCAATGATGCAAGCTTGACTTTATTTGTACTAAGGAGTGATAGTGCAAACCCTTTCATGAGTTGTGAAAGAAGAGTGGAGTAGGCTTTGTTAAACGCCGAACCACTATAAAAATCTCTCTCTCTCTCTCTCTCTCTCTCTCTCTCTCTCTCTCTCTCCTATTACTTTTGTTCAATTACTTGCTTTGCATATCATCCACAATCATCAAACCTTAATTTCTTATAACGAAAGTGTGCAAAGAATCATTAAAAAGAACACATATACTTTCCGATATGCATTAATCTTTCATGTTTGCTTCCAAAAATCGAGTAGAGTCTATTCCCCCCCCCCCCCCCCCCCCCGCCTCTAGACTCTCTTTAGTCACTACCGGGACCAACAAGTGGTATCAGAGCAGTTACCTTGAACGGTAAACGCTTTGCATTTACTGCATGGTAGATCCCATTTCAAAAATCCTAAAAACTACATTTTATCGTTGCACAAATTTTAAAAAATGGAAAATGATCATGGGCATAGATCTAGACCTCTTGCTTTTAACATGTCTAAATTTGATGATTGGAAGGTGCGCATGCAGGCACATCTATCAGCGATTCATGATGAAATGTGGGATGTTATCATAGACAGACCAATCACAATTATGATGGTCAATCCACATGCAGCAGCACAAGGTGCTGACGCTGATCAGATGATCCCAAAACCAAAGGCTGAACTAACCACAGAAGAGAGAACACGAGCAAATTTTGATAATGTTGCTCGAGACATCTTATACAAATCTCTAGATGAATCGTTATTTCCAAGAGTGAGGAAATGTAAGACTGCTAAAGACATCTGGAACACACTGATGGAAATTGGTGAAGGCGATGAACAAGAAAAGGAGAACAAGCTTACCAAGGCCATGAAGCGATTCGAGGACTTCAAGATGAATCCCAACGAAATAATAAGTTAGATGGAGATCCAATTCACGAAACTTCTAGGAGAGATATTAGATTTGGGAAAAGAACCAACTAGAAAGGAGATTAATCTGAAGATTCTTCGAGGTCTTCCAAAGTCATGGGATATGAAAGTAACTGCAATGAGAGATCATCGAGACTTGAAAACGGTTCAGAGCTCACAAATCTTCAACGATCTGAAAGCGTATGAATTTGAGCATGAACCAAAGAACAGTGAGGAACTAGAAAATAAGAACATCGCTCTCATAGCAAACCAGCAACCGTCGACATCTAGCAAGTCGAATTCTAATCCTTCTGATTTCATATCTGGCGAACAGTTTGCCTTGTTTGTGCGAAAATTTAAAAAGTTCATGAGGAAGAATAACTTTCCAGAATTTCAAACATCACCAAACCCCTCAAGCCGAAGGTTTACCGAAAGATCACCTCATGCTAATAAACAAGAGCAAGCAGAGGCTCAAGTGTTATTCTATAACTACAGAAAGCCAGGACATTTCAACCCAAATTGTCCTCATCCTATGGTCTGCAAATATCAGGACCAAGAACCAAGCACGAGCGCTTCAAGCTAAGAGAGAGAAAAGAAACTGGTGATTCGAGCAAAAGAGATGTCAAACCCGAATCCAGTCAGTCAAGACACGATAGGAGAAGAAAAGCAATGGTTGTGAATGAATCAAGTGAAGTGGCCGAACCCGAATCCAGTACTTCGAGTTCAAGCTCAGAGACCCAAAGCTCAGGAGACGAGAAGGGACTCCTGTGCCTACTCAGTCAAGAAGAAAGTGATCACAACCTATGCTTGATGGCAAAAGATGACGAGGTAGACTCTCAATCCTCTTCATCTACCCAAGTTGAATCTAGTTCTGATAGTGAGGAAAGTTCCATTGATTCAGTTGCAAAAATGATGAGGGACTTTAAAATTGTTAAAAGCACATACTCTAAGTTGAAAGAAGAGAACTCTCGACTTATGATCAGTTATGAAGAGCTCAGACACGTTAGAATTAAAAACATTGAGCTATATAGCCATCACCAATGATCAACTCGAAAAGTAAGTTCATCTTCTTAAAGAGCAGTGCACATCAAGAGAAATAAGGGAGCAAAATCTGCGTGAGTTCATTGCATCATTCACAAATTCATCTAAGATAATAGATCGAATGGTGAACAATCAAAGACGAACTTGGGAGAAAGCCGGACTTAGCTATAACCCAAGCTCTCATTCACAAGTTTTGTTGATCAAACCTACAGATCCTTCAACCAGTGGAGGTTTAAAATCTGTGTTTGTTCAAGGTCCAACCCAGCTGCCCGAACCAATGATCCAAATTGATAAGGGTAGAACACCACAAACGACAAACAATTCCAAAGGAAAGGTTGTACAAAGTTTTGTGGAACCTGCGAAAGGAGATTTCTCGCATGGCAACCCAAGACATGTCATAAATGTCACTCAGAATGGGCCCAAAGTAATTAGACCTAGTCTACATTACAAAAAGGTCAGCCAACAGGAAAGAACCAATCAAAGGTAAACCCTAATATCAATCAGAGGCAAAATCGCTCTTTGAATCAACGCAAAGGTTATTCACAAAAAAAGAACAAAGGTTAAGCCTCAGAGGTCACTTAGAAGACCAATGAGAGGCGCCGGAAGGTTCTATCTTTCTGAAAAGGACTGGTTTGTATTTCACGAACCTATGTCGAAAGCAGAATTTGAGAAGGTTCACAAACACAAACAGACTCATTATTCTAAGGTGTATCGCAATCTGCCTGAAACCCATTTTCAAAGTCGATACAAGAAAGCCAAAACTTTCACAAAAATCCCATATCATTATCGCGTGTTTAGTGGATACAGAGGACCAAGGATGAGTAAAACCAACTCTAGGTTCGTCTGGATCCCGAAATTGACCGCTAACTCTCAAGGACCCGAGAATCAAGGGGTACCTAAAACAATATAATTTTTTATTTCAGGTTAACAGGGTCACTTGGTACGTGGACAGTGGTTGCTCAAGACATATGGCCGGTGATAAGTCAAATTTGAGCAACTATAAAGAATTTGATGGCCCGAAAGTAATCTTTGGTGGAGAATCTAGCGGGAAGACACAAGGAGTAGGAGACATTATTAAAAATGGGATAATCATTCGAGAAGTGTCTTATGTTGAAGGATTGAAGTTCAATCTTCTAAGCACCAGTCAATTTTGCGATAAGGGATATAAAGTTGAATTCTTAAAGGACAAATGCAATGTAATCAACACAAAAAATAGAGATATCGTATTATCTGCTAGTCGAAAGAAGAACATGTATGTTGTCACTTGGGAACTCTCTAAGGCGAATGTTTGTCTTATGGCCAAAAGTAGCGTTTATCTAAGTTGGGAATGGCACAATTAGTGATTGGATTAAGTCATCTTTTGTGATTGATGCTATGTGATTTAA